AGAAACTGGACTGCAACTGGCCTTATTCTTTTAACAAAAATAGGGTCGATTCTAACGATGATGACAATGCCCCCACGTGCTATTTTACGTTATAGTATCACACACAGCTAACAAGCAGATTCGATTCTATCGAGTGATAACATTGCCCCACAAAGTCTTTTACCGATATATCGACCCACATTCATCTCAACAATGCCCAGTTTTTACCATTCGAGGTGTGATATACAACGGTAAAAGACACCTCCAAACGGTAGAAACCCACCACTGTTGACATGATTGTATGTGATCTGACTGGTAAAAAACTCGGCATTCCACACGAATTTTTCAAACTAACGATCAAAAGGAGTGGCAACCACGAGCAAAGGAAGCCTTTTGTGTAGAGTTAATCCTTCAGTCTCACTCATATCCAAATCCTCTTCCTTTTCTCCATCAGGCAATGCAAATTCGAAACTGTGCACCAACTTGGCCAGCCCGAGCTCAACAACAGCCACCGCAAATGAAGTTCCCGGGCATCCCCTCCGGCCAGCCCCAAACGGGATGAACTCAAAATCCTTTCCCCTAAAGTCAACTCCCGAGTCCAAGAATCTCTCAGGTCGAAACTCTTCGGGATTTTCCCATGATTTCGGGTCCCTAGCAATGGCCCACGCATTGATCAAGACCTGTGTCCCGGCCAATACGTCGTAGCCCATGACTTTCGTGTCGTGAGTGCATTCGCGAGGGATTAGCAATGGGACAGGTGTGTGTAGCCTTAAGGACTCCTTAATCGTTGCTTTTAGGTACGGCATTTTGTCTAAATCGCTTTCGTCTATTATCCCTTTCTTGTTTTCGGCTATGTTTTTCACTTCATTTTGTAGGATTTTCGTGGTTCTTGGATTCTTGATGAGCTCGGTTAATACCCACACTAAAGTCAGCTCCGTGGTGTCGGTTCCCGCACCAAACATGTCCTGTAATTAATTACGAATTTGTCACGTTCTGATCGTAAAAATTCAGTTTTTTGCGGTTCGTTATTGGTTGTAAATAGGCGAAAATGAAGTATTAAATACCAAAATAAGAGCCTTGATTGTTTCATCTTCGACAAGGAACCCGTTTTCGTTCTTCCTCTGAAGCTCGAGCAATATATCCACGAAATCCAACTCTCCATCATCATCATCGTGTTTTCTTCCTTCGTTTTCCTTATGTTCTTGAATCACATTTTCCAAAAAAGAGTCGTACTGTTTAGCAACTCTTTCCACTTTCGCGTTCAAACCGTTCACTCGATTAATCCAGCTCAACCACGGTATGTAATCCCCCCAGCTAATGGCGCCTAATAGCTCCGCAAACTCTCCCAAAACCTTGAACTTTTCGTATTCTTCCCGGTTTTCATTGCTGTATTTTCGACCTAATACCACCCTGCAGAGGATATCGCTTGATAGCGAGGCGAAAACATTGCTCAAGTTGATAACCGATGATGATGAAGAAGATGCCAACTGTCCGATTTTGTTGAGCATTGCCGAGGTTTCTTCTTTGCGCACACGGCGAAAAGATTGAACCCTTTTGCTGCTCAAGAGATTCGCCACGCATATGCTTCTCACCTTATAATAAAGCATGATGATGATGATGAATTTTCATTTTCATGAGTTTTTACAATGTTATAAATAGTAAAAAAGTTTTTTTTAAGAAAAAAAAAAAAGCACCACAAACAAAACGCATGCAAAAATGCATTTTTTTGTCCTGTTGTTTCATGCCATAAAAATTATAGTCCAAGGTTACAATTTTTCGCTTTTTGTTCATGTGATTTAATATTTTGCTGCAATTTCAGTCTTTTGAGGTCCTATTGACTAAAAGTCGAAATGTTGAAACTTAAGAGGCCTAAAAATACAATTTTGCCAAAATAAAACGCATATGTTCATGTTGTTCGACTAACTAAAGATTTGCTCACCTGTCGCCAGTATTCTCCGTAAGGGGTAAAAGCCATGTCCCTCGAACCGTACAACAGCCTGTTTGGGATGGTTAGCTTCGGCCGGTTCGAAAAAATAGCATCTTGGTTTTTCATTATCTCGCGCGCAGCTTTTGCTGACGAGGCAAGAAGCACGGGCACTCGCCCGAGATGAAGCAGCAAAAGCTCGTGACCGTATTGTCTCGACAAAGACTGTAACGAACGGTGAGCAGAAGTGCCGAGCTGGTGGATATTTCCTATCAACGGAAGTCCTTTTGGAGATGGCGGCGTGTTTTTTTGAGCCGTGTGGAAGCTGGACCGCCATTTTTTAAGGAAAATTATGAACATGATTAAGGTAATAAACAGAGGTATGATCAAGCTATGAACAAAGGCCATCTTTTTTTTCTTATGTGCTCTTTTTTCTTCTGTATGTCTCTCTTAAGTTGGATAATGTGTGTTTACTTATATAGTCTTATAGAAAGGGAAATGAAGTCCAATGTGACGATTTCATATGGATATGTGTTTGTGAAATGCACCAGTTAGTTTCATATATACTAATAAGTTATTCTCTCAAAAGATAAGAAGTTTTGAAAAAAACTTGAAACAAGAAATGGATATCTTCTTGTTCCTATCCTATCACCGTTCTTTCTCTCTTCTTTTGGCATATATAAGTTCTTCAAAATCATTACGTCTGGTTTTTTTGACCAAGAGGAATCTTATATGAATTGTATGATAGATTCAAATTCAAAACCATTTTGTACGGTGCCTACACAGAATCAGGACAAAATGTGGCTACAAACAAGATAACCATTTGTTAACAATTCAAAATTTATCCATCCATCATTTCCTTTTGTTATAACCCTCTGTTTTTTCGAAATTTCGATGTATCTCAGTTGTGTCGACGAATAATCGATATAGCTTTATTTTTGTGAAATTTCGACTTCACGAGTAGCCGGAAGAACGTGACCTCCAGTAACTATTCATTCTTTTGAAGCAGAACATGCACAAAACTATAAATCTATAGAACCACAATAAATTATGTAAGAAACAAAAGGAAAAGAGGTAAAAAAAGAATCATGAAGTCATAGAGCAAGAGAATATGTACACTTGTAGTTTTTTTCAATTTGAATTCACTCAAACCAACTTGTGTCTTAGGTAGCACATCTCTTTCTAACTTCAAAATATTCAATTCATATATATAATAAAGATTCCAATATCTGTGATTTAGCCAACTACTACAATATTTGACAGAATGTGCTGTCCAAGAAAGACTTGCATGTGACTATCATGATATTAAATATCTTACTCATACCTGTCATTACAATTTACAATGTAAAACTAAAGACCTTGTGCAAGAAAAAAAATGCTAACTTCAGAGCAAAAACAGATCCATGAGCTTCTCTTGCATCCATATCTCCTTACACTCACCACCTTAATACTCTCACTATATTTTCTCCTCATCAGAAAATGGCTACACGAAAACCCGAGTAATAATAACAAAAAAAACTTGCCTCCATCACCACCAAGATTGCCAATCTTGGGCAACCTTCACCAGCTAAGCTTACTAACCCACCGCTCTCTCAAATCCTTGGGCTCGAAACACGGCCCATTAATGCTCCTATACTTCGGCAGCAAGCCCGTTATCATACTCCAGTCGGCCCGTGCAGCTAGCGAGATCATGAAAACGCATGACCTGGCATTTGCCGACAAGCCCAACTCGCGAACAACTAAGAGAATCTTTTACAACATGAAGGATATATCGGTAGCTCCTTACGGAGAGCATTGGAGAAAACTGAAGAGCGTTTGTATCGTGCATTTGCTGAGCGGCAAAAGGGTCCAAGAATTTAATTTCATTAGGGAACAAGAAACGGCCCGTCTGATAGAAAAGATTGGTTCGGCTCGTTTTTCGGTTGTTAATCTGAGCGAGCTTTTTATGTCGTTGACGAACGATGTGATTTGCCGCGCGGCTTTCGGGAGGAGATACGGTGAGGAGGAAGATGGGAGGAAGTTTCTGGTTCTGCTTAGGGAGGTTATGGAGATATTGGGAAGTGTTAGTGTGGGGGACTTTATTCCTTGTCTTAAATGGGTTAATTGGGTTAGTGGGTTTGAGGGGAAATTGGAGAGAGTTGTTAGGGAAGTTGATGTTTTCTTGGAGATGGTAATTCAAGAGCATATGGTTAATCAATCTGTTGATAAAGATGAAAAGAGAGAGAATTTTGTGGATATTTTGCTTGATGTTTGCAAGGATGATAAGATTGGTGTGGCCATTGATAGAGATAGTATCAAAGCTGTTATTTTGGTGAGTCTCTCTCTCTCTCCATCTCCTTCCATCTCTCTCTTTCACTCACTCTCTCTCTCCATCTCCATCTCCATCTGTCTCTCTCTCTCTCCATCTCCCTCCCTCTCTCTCTCTCTCTCTCTCGTTCACTCTCTCTCTCTCTCCATCTCCATCTGCATATCTCTCTCTCGCCATCTCTCTCCATCTCCATCTCTCTCTCTCTCTCTCAANACAGGATATTCTTGCTGGAGGAACAGACACAACAGCCGCAACTCTCGAATGGGCAATGACGGAGCTCTTAAGACACCCATCGACCCTCGAAAAGCTTCAGAACGAAGTCCGACAAGTCGCGAAAGACAAACGGGACATAACAGACGATGACTTGGCGAAAATGAAGTACTTAAAAGCCGTCGTGAAAGAGACCTTACGTTTGCATCCCCCCATCCCTTTGCTTGCTCACGAAGCAAGAGAAGACATTCGGTTCATGGGATTTGATGTCCCGCGCACCACAATGGTCATAACGAACGTGTGGGCCATCGGGACAGATCCCAGCACTTGGGACGAGCCCGAAAAATTTCTGCCCGAGAGGTTTCTGAGTCGCTCGATCGACTTTAAGGGGCTCGATTTCGAGCTCATCCCGTTTGGGGCAGGGAGGAGGGGCTGCCCTGGGATTACATTTGCGGTGGCTAGCGTTGAACTCGTTTTGGCGAGTCTCGTGCGGAAATTCGACTGGATTTTGCCAAAGGGAATGAAATGTGATGATTTGGATGTGATAGAACAGCCTGGTGTGACTATTCATAGGAAAATTCCACTTTTGGCTGTTGCAAGTAAATGTTGTGCTGTCTAGTGTTTGATCAATTTGTTGTGATAGTTTTGGGTTTCAATTGTGTGATTCTATGCTCTTTTGTAGCTCAAAGTGTACAATTTATCTCAAAAGGCAAAAAATTATCTAAAGTTTTGAAGCATCTAAAACTTCATTGAGGATATCTATGAACTCTATGACAGCTCCATGTGGAGCTGTCTCATTGGCTGTTGGCTCCATAACGGAGCTAACAGTTGACTCCTTAGCATTATTGTTGAAATCTATTGGCAAATATTAATTAAAGTGTGATCTTTCCTAGCTAATTCTCGTCTTTTTTGATACAGAACAGATCAATAAGAAAGATTAGAAAGATTCCATATAGCAAAGAGATGAAAAAGGTACATGTAATTCTTGATTTGAATTAATGTAAATTGTAAACCAACTTGCATTTGAAAATTGGGAGACCTCTTTCTGACTTTTTTTTTCATATGAAATTTGGATTTAATGTGATATGCATGTGCAATTAGTCAATACTACTCAAACCAATAATTACAAGGAATGTGAGATAGTAATAGTCAATATTACTCATACCAAGATTGTTATGTCTAAGTGAAGATCAATTTCATGTAATAGTGTGGGTTTTAGTTGTAATTCAACTGGTGTTGTCAGATTTGATAAATGTTCTGTAAAACAGACAAATCTTAAACAAATGTGAGAAGGAATGTGTTGAAGTCTAGTGCCATGTAAACCAATGTCCAGACTTGGCCAAGAAAGTATTTCGGCCAAAATTATGGGTGGCTTTGTACTTTTCTGTAAAATCAATGGCCCAAATAAAAAATTATGATTTGGATTACCCGGTGCGGCTTCAACTCATTAATGTGAGAATTTTAGGGACAAAAAAATGGTTTATCCAACTCATTAATAAGAGAATTTTAGGGTCAAATTAATTAAAATTAGACATATTATGGAAGTAAGTTTTTAACTATGAGATAACATGCAAATATTATTCTTTTACATTAAATCAAATTTAAGTATTTAATTTAACGGTTTTGCTATGAAGCCAACAGTTGGCTCCATAGTGGAGCCAACCTTCTAAATACAACAAATAAACCTACCATATTAATAAAATTATATTAGTTTCATTTAAGTAATCAGAGAATATGGTAGGTTTATTTGTTGTATATAAAAGGTTGGCTCCATTATGGAGTCAACTGTTGGCTTCATATCAAAACAGTTTTATTTAAATATTATTTTGATATAAATTCAAAAGTTAACTAACAACTAACTATATCAATTTTTTTAAATTAATCAAATAAAATTAAAATATTTTATATCCGAGCATTTCCTAAGTCTAATGGCTACTCTTCCTTCCACCAATTGGTTTTTGGATGAAATCTTACTTGGGTTTCATCTGAGCTTTCCCTTGGTGCGCTTTATCTGCGTGGGACCGCACCTGTTTTTCCCCGTTTCTTACACCACTACTATCTCTTCTACAAATAAAAAAATAGGCACACAAGTCTCAGAACTATGTAAAAAAAAATCCACATTTACCTATAAATCCCTATTTAATTGCATAAATAATTTTTTTTTTTTGGTTTTTAATTGTAAATATACTAACTTTCACTGTTATTAAAAGTTAATAAATGGTTGACTTTAGAGCCGACAAAACGGGCCAAAGCCGGCGGGTCGGCCTCCTTTTTCTTAGGCCTACCAGGGAGCGGGCCTAAACGGGTCAACCCGTACGGACCACGAGCCACGACGTAGCGGGCGGGCAGGGTTGCAGGCTGGCCTGCCAAGAAAAAGAAATTTGCATAATTAAAATAACTGATTTAGATAGATTACTAAAAAGTGCTAAATATATTTATAAGTTATAACATCGTATGTCAAGTGTCCAACCAAAATATTTACAAACAATAGAAAAAAAATATTAAAAACATAATTACATGTTTTACGTTTTTAACAATATAAACAATGAGAATTAAGTTAATTCAAAATGTATAAATATGATCAACATTCATTTTATGTAGAGAATAGTAATTATTATTTCATATTAGAAGTGTCTAAATAATTTTAAAATTAAATTTATAGTATTATTTTTTATAAAAATATGCATGTAATTTGTTTATTTTTTTTTAATGGTCAGGCTTGACGGGCCAACCCGCGGCCGCTGGCAGGGCTGGATCGGTTGCCATTAACTAGGCCCACTGGTATGGCGCCCAACACCACCAACAAGTTGGGTCGTTCCGTCAGGGCGTTTTGACAGCTTTAATTGACTTATTATTCATTTTGTTATTGCTTTTAAATTATTTTACTTTTTAATTTATAACTTATTTATAAATGATTTATGTATAACGATGTATATTTATAAAAGGTTTAAAAAATGTAAATAGTAATTAGTAAACATGTAAAATTGACAACTTTATACACGTACATCCCCCAATGCCTAACTTCAATTAAGTCTCAACGTTGACTAGGCTACAACCATAAATATAAAAATATTTTGTGATCCGTTTTATAGGAAACTAAATTCTCCAGCATACTATTAAATTACGACCAACCCAGACTTGCACGCCCAAAATCACAAACCAACCAAAAAACCGTATTATCAACTATATAAGCTCCCTCTTTCCCAACACACAAGACACAACCATTCTTATGTCTTGATAAGCCCAAAACACAATATCTAGAGTTTCCAGAAAAAGTAAATAAATAAAAAAAATAAATAATAAATAATGGATGACTTCCAATTTTATGCATTACTCATCACCCTCACACTCATACTCTATGCATGGCTCTTCACCTCCAAGCCCAAACCCACCAAGAGGCTTCCCCCCTCTCCCCCAACCCTCCCCATCATCGGCAACCTCCACCAACTGGGCCACTTGGCCCACCGGGCCCTCCACGGCCTCTCCCGAACTTACGGGCCCACCATGCTCCTCAAATTCGGGTCGAAGCCCGTCCTCGTCATATCCTCCGCGGAGGCGGCCCGCGAGGTCATGCGCACCCACGACCTCTCCTTCGCTGGCAAGCCCGTCCTCAGCGCCCCCAGCAAGCTATTCTATGACCTCAACGACCCCATCAACATGCAGTATGGCGACAGGTGGCGCGGGCTTCGCCGGATCTTCGTGCACGAGCTTCTCGGGCCCGCGCGCGTCCACTCGTTCGACTCGATTCGCGAGGCCGAGGTTTCGCTTCTGGTGGAGCGGATGAGTCGACCGGGCCCGGTCGACCTGTCGGCAGAGTTCATGACCCTGGCCAACGGCCTCATCTGCAGAGCCGCGTTTGGGAAGAAGCATATGGAAACTTCTCACGGGGAGAATTTTCTAGAGGTCATGGACCGTGCTGTGGGCCTCATGTTCAACTTCACGTTGGGGGAGTTCGTGCCGTGGCTGGCTTGGATCAACGGGCTCAACGGGTTCAACGCGGCCCTCGACAAATGCGCGCGGGAACTCGATGAAATTATGAGTAATGTTGTTAGAGATCACTTGGAGAAAGAGAGTGGTGAGAAGGAGAACTTTATGGATATATTGCTCGGGATATATAAAGGCGAGGTCTCGGGCATGTCGATCGACCTCATATCCGTCAAAGCTGTTATTACGGTGAGAAGAATCGAAATATAATCGAAATATCGATTGGTTTTTGTTCTTTGATTTTTCTATACATATATAATCGATCTCTCGGAAAACAGGATGTTCTTGGAGCGGGAACTGAGACCTCGGCAAGGACCCTAACGTGGGTGATGACGGAGCTCATTCGCCACCCGCACGTGATGAAGAGACTGCAAGACGAAGTGCGAGGGATTACGAAGGGCAAAAAGGGAATAACCGAAGATGACATCAAGAGAATGTCGTACCTCAAGGCCGTGATCAAGGAGACTTTCCGGGCCCACCCGCCGGTGGCCATATACTTCCACGCGGCCCGAGAGCACGTGAACTTTATGGGGTACGATATCGAGCCCGAGACAATGGTTTTGATCAACGCGTGGGCCATCGGGCAGGACCCGACATGCTGGCAGGAGCCCGAGAGGTTCATGCCCGAGAGATTCTTGGACTCGACAGTCGACTTCAGGGGGTTCGATTTCGAGCTGATCCCGTTTGGGGCTGGGCGGAGGATCTGCCCAGGGATTGGGTTTGCGGCCGCTGCTATAGAGCACACGGTGGCGAACCTCGTGAAGAATTTCGACTTCGAGCTGCCTGGTGGGGCCCGTGGGGAGGACCTGGACGCGACGGAAAGGCCCGGGTTAACTATCGGGAAGAAGGAGCCTCTTGTCGTTGTCGCAAGGCGCGTGGATGCTTAGCTGATTGGATATGTGTATTTTTTTTTTCTTCATTTTTGTTTGTTTGGTCGAGATTTATGTCATTGAAACAGAAAATGAAATATATAAAAATATTTCATCGCGCTTACTATTTGTGCCATCTTAATTTTTGCTCTACAATCTCTAGTCACTAGAGTAACTGAAAAATCAAAAGTAATCTTCATTATATATATTCTTCATCATTATCTTCACAATCTCAAATTTATTTCATTTTTTCCAAAAATGAAAATGATTTTTCNTTTTTTTTTTTGGGTACGAAACACAAATTTTCGAAAAAAAAAAAAGAAAGAAAAATCTCATATCCAAGGTTTGGTTTTAACAGTAGTACTAGCCGATATTACAGCCTTTGTTGTTCTTCCTCAGCATCACTAAAGTGGTCTTTGTATATAATTAGTGTATTCTATTGCAAAACCTAATAAACATTTTTTTTCCTATTTTGATGACAATGTAATGCACAAATACTAATTCTCATGTATACTCTTACATTAACCACCAAACTCCTGTTTTTTTTCAGTGATATTCTTGTCACGTCAGCCTCCAAATTCGGCACTCCAACTCCTAGTCGCCTAGTCCTAAGCCGTAGTCATAAAGAGCTTTTAAATTTTTAGAGCGGCGGACGAAGTTATTGTCCGGTATTAGAAGATAGATTTTATATATATATTTTTTGGGAACAATAAATTATTTTAAATAACACATACTATATATCAACTAAACATTGGAATATAAACGATAAATTTTATATTCAATGAGCGAGTAATAGTCAAAATTTGACTGAGATCGAGTTGATTTGGATTCGACTCGGGCGCTCAAGAGCCACAAGAATCATTTGCAATGTCATATTTTTGCTTCCTCATTTTTACATTTTGCTCGTTATTTTACTAAGAAAAATCTTCGTCATGAAAACTGCCTTAATAACATGACCTGCCACAGAGGTCTCAATAAGTAATCTCATACTTAACATAAATATGCGATTCGTCAGAAAAAAAATCATTTCCATCGACCTTCCAGGTCTCCCAGATTGATTCAACACTTCATCAAATTCTAAGTATAAGTAAAGTTAATCACTCGACAAAGTCTCCAAAATGTACGCCATATTCGGACAAATTTTGTAATTTTGACAATAAAGTCACCTTAGTTATACGAACTGCCACTGAAGTCTCCTGAAAGGGCTCCATCTTAGACATAATTTCGTCATTTGTGTTGTGTATTTGACCTTCCACTGAGGTCGTTGTAATTCGAAATTTGAAATGTGGTTATTGCACCAACTCTGATTGTAACGTATTGCTCGATCATCGATATGTGATTCGATTTGTGCATCTCCCACCTTTGGAGTCGATCAGTCAGCCTAAAGGCGTTGGTCATACTGGGTTTGTGTCTTCAATCCATGCTCAACCTTCCTCTGGGGTCGATCAGCCAGCCGGAAGGCTACGATCATATTAGGTTTTTGCTCTTCAATCTACCCGCCAATTAGGGTTGACCAGTCAGTCCAAAAGCCTTTGTCATGTTGGGTTTTACTCTTCAACCAACCCGTCAATTATGGTTGACCAGCCAACCCGAAGGCCTTAGTCATGTTGTGTTTTCAAACACAAACACAGCCCTCTGCGATCGACCAGTCAGCTTGAAAACCTTAATCATGCTGAGTTTTTGTCTTCAACCATCCCACCTAATAAGGTCGACCAGCCAACCCAAAGATCTTAACCATGTTTGGTTTTCGAACACGAACACGACCCTTAATCATGCTCGGTATTTTTATGTCATCAATTACACTTGAGTAAGAATGCTTGAAGATAGCTTGAAAGAACAATTTTACATTTGATTTTTTTTATGTATCTTATAGTTTTTATAAAATGGGTTAATGGAGATATGGTATTAGTATCTCTATATTTTCGGAATTTTTTTTTCCCTGATCATATTATATCTACGAAAAGAAATACCATTTCAATGAACTTCACAGAAGCGCCAGATGAATCATAAGATTACAAGGTATAGAAGCCATGCCTAGACAAAAAATGTGAGCTGTGAAACAAAAATGCCAAAAAGTACAGACCAAAAATCACAATCAATAGGGAAATTAAAAGGTACATATGAAAAAACATTTCGAATTTCACCAACTTCTACATCCAAATCTACAAAAATGTCGACTGTACTTCTCCATAACTTTGACAGCAAAAAATACCAGAAAAAACCCAAAACGAAAGAAATACGAACCTGGGTTTGGATTAAACGAAATATGCGGTACAATTCATGAAGCATCCTTCAGTGAGATCTCAAGTCCTGGAGGTAATGGCCGACTTGCTGTGCCCCAAGAAAAAGTGCATCAGCAATGAGAAAGAGCCCAATCTGCAAACAATGTTTTTTTTTTTTTTTTTCACAAACTGTGAAAATGCTGATAATTAATTCAAACCAATTGAATTTGGGCAACCATAAGGAGTATTTACCAAGCGAGCAGAAAAAACTAATCGGAAGCCCCAGCCCTCCTTGGCAGCTAAAGCTCTCTGTTGATCGGTCCACCTAACAATACATAAAACATCATTAAAAATTAAAAAATCATTAACAGTTTTTTTCTCGTCGTAAATAAACTAGCAAATCTTGCTATAACTTGCATCAGATGAATTAACATAGAATTGTCGATTTGATTATGATAAAATCATTTGCTTGGAAAATGCTGGAAAAACTATTGATCACTTTTCATTTAAGTGATTTTTCAAAACACCCTCCAAGAATGAAAGGATGATTTGAAGTTACCCGAGGAATTCTGAAAGCCCGCCAATTCCTGCAAGTTTAAAGGGCTGTGGGCCATCCCTTTCAAGATCCTGGCACGATAACAAATCATATGAACGAATTACAAAAAAAGACCCACCGAATTTAACAGAGGGGAAAAGGAAATTTTGCTCCACTATAGTGCTATGTGCGTTTTCAGCTAAATCTAAAGTTTCTTTTTGCTTTTATTTTTTTGATAAAATGCAACTCTATAAAAGAAATTGATGCATCACAGCTACAAGCTTATCGGGAAATAAAAGTTCTCCAGATAATAATCCATGCGAGGCACAAAAAAATCAATACTTTAGCTGCAAAAGCCGATAACATGCTTAGTACGGGTTGTTAAGGAAAAACTCTCCTCTAAAACAGAGAGAGAGAGAGAGCACCTCATCTTCAGCAGCCTCAAGACCACCTTGAACCAAGAATAGATTTTCATAACCAGCATTATGCAATAACTCACAAGCTGCAAGGGATCTGCTTGATTATAAAATGCTCAGAATAAAAACTTGGGAATAGAACAATAAATGCATTTTAACAGCAGGAATCATCAGATTCAAGCATATATAAATTTAAGCACTTTGTTTCAAGAACTCTATTTGAAGAAATGGCAGGCAAGTAGATGAATGGAACCCCCAAAAAGAAAAATATGCTACCATGGACTTAGATGTCTTAAAGATATGATCAGTAAAGATTTTTAAGAACACTGCAGCCAGTCAAATCAATAGCTTAATATTAGCATTCAGAGAAAAGNAAAAAAAAAAAAAAAGAAAGTTAAAAGAAGAAAATTAATGAAAAGAAAGAAAGAAAATTTCACCTCAGGCCTTTCTGGCACGCCACAATAAGATCTGTGTCTTTAGGGAATTTCTCCTCGACTTTGGACAAGAATTGCCTATCGAGAAAAGAATATACAAGAAGTATTTTATCACATAGGTGGGTGTTAATAATATTTCGAGAAGAAAAAACAAGGCTAGAAAGTACCATACTTGTCGAAGGATAATGTCGGGACGCCACTCCACCATCCTCCTAAAAAACAATATCATACAGCTAAGGAAGTTTAAAAATACAGTCCAAAAGAGCTGCTGATGACCAAGACATAAAACCATAGACATGATGTTGGTGGAATTATTTTATCCTCTTCTTACGCTTGTCATGAACTCCGCCTATGTTGTCTCAACATAGCAGGTTCCAAGCCCTGGTAAAGGAGGAGGATTGTGATAGGCTTGGCGAGCCAACATAAAACCTAGCCGTTCTATGGAGATGAAACTTCTTACGCTTGTCATGAGAAGTATTGGTTTGGTATATACACAGAATTAGTTGTATGTTTAATTCGACACATTACGAAAGTAGTGACCTTAAAGAGTGATTAGCATGAACAGACCAAGAAAATGAGTTCTTGTGCAAATTGGTAAATGAAACACTATTTTTGCCAGTACCCATCATGAACCCTGTGATCTTCCTTGAAAGAGTACCGGGATCCAATCCGCCATCAAGATCAAATATTGGAATCCAATCAGAACCTTTGACCCATGCCTTTAGGATAACAGTCAAAAAAATGTCAAGAAAAGAAACGAGACAAATGAGTTATAAAAAAAACTCAATCTCAAAACCAATCAAGGTCTGTGGATTGGAAAACCAAAATGTAAACAGCGGCCAAAAAAAAAATATTTAGGCTAAACTGAAAGATAAAATCATTGCAAGACTAACATACGTACCTTCTTACGTTCAGTAGAAGGACGAACATCAAGTAAGGTTTTGTTTGAGAGTTGAACTGCGTATCCAGCTTCTCTTGGAGTTAGAACTTTGACTTTCCCATCCCTGACCTAAGTTACAAAATTTATGTACTATAATCTACGCACACAGCACACCTTATACATTGAATAAACAACTTATACAATAAACTGAAATTATATAGAGTGAGTGCTCCATTCTTGGTCAAATTGAACTCATAACAAATTGGCCTTCAAAATCTTATGACGATCTCTCATCAATGATGCGTATGTTAGTTACTTTCTTCTACACACTATCTAAACAAAATCTTCCCGAAAATTCTGCTTTCAAAGGAAGTGATCATTTATTAAGTAGAAGCTAATCGAATAATCGAAAATCTGAAACACTTATCTCTACAAGTTTTGGAGAGTCTAATTAAACAATGCACGACTTGAAATTCCTAAACACTACAACAAACCAATAGATAATTGAAAACACTCCTTATTACATGAACCAATGCATTCACCCCTTTGGGAGCAATACATGGCCACTCAAAATTCTTGGTGTGAGGTGACTTCTTGCAAAATTTTGTCCATTGACATATACTTCATCAACATTATAGTACACCCATTACCCAAAAAGAATAACAGAAACAAGAAAATCATCAAATAACTAACTAAATACCAGAGCTTCCCATCTCTTTCTAGCAGCAGCCATATCCCTCATTTGCTTCACCTCGAACTCTTCTTCAGCTACTTGCATTCTTGTGCACTAATTAATCATATTTTTGCCCAGACAACATAAGAAACCCAAAACAAAATTACAAACCCGATTCTGAAATATAATTACGTTACAACATCAAGAAAATATTGAACCGGGTTAAAAGGAACAATCTTTTTCCTTTTTTCCTTTTTTTGGCTTACATTGTGTCGAACTTTGCGGGTCAGAAAAGACGGGCCTGTAGCAAAAGGAAAACGGGCCGAGCCCGGAAGGCTGTTCCAGCTCCTTTGTCTCGGGCCGGGTTGAGCACTGATGGGCGAGAACTGAAGGCTCCGTGTTGCCATTTTGCTCAAGGAAAAAAAAAAAGCTGAAATGGCCAGTCGGTCACGGATGCTTTCTTTTCAATCTGTAGCTTTATCTACTTCTGGTTTGTTTTGAATAAATTCTTGTGAGGAAATTATCATGGATAGGTTTATCGCGCACGATATCTGAAGGTCGCAAGGGACAAAGCATTTTGGATAAATCTGATTGGTTTCTGACTATATAATATTTTGTGATATAATATGCTTCGGTAATTAAATTAAAATTTGTATAAATAGAGGAGTGTTTAATAGCAAAAACTTGCTAGACTTGATAAATTATAGGCTTTTAAGTATTTTTTTTTTTCAACTTTAAATATAATAAGGCTCGATTTTATTTATAGCTTCCTTAAATTTAAATAATTCGGTTTGATAAGTGATCGAGATCGACATATTTATAGCTATAAGTATAAATGTAAAATTCAAAATTGAAAAAATTATACCGTTCACCTATAAATTCATTTGTATTTATATATTATAATGTTTTTTCGTTTAATTATAAATATACAAATTTCATAGTTTATACATGGTCGATTTGTAGGGTATTTTTGTATTTGAGTCCTAAATTACATTATTTTGTGATTTATAACTCGTTTATAAATGGTTTGTGTGTTGTTTTATTTTTATATCGTATTTTACAAAAGTATGGTTGATATGTGGTTTATTTTTGTATGTGAGGTCATAAATTACATTAATTTGTTGCTTATAACTTGTCTATAAACGATTTGTGTATGATTTTATTTTTGTTTTTGTATTTAAAAATACAAAAAATATAATAAATATGTAAAATGATCTTGATCAATCTACAGAATAATATGGGCCAAGCCACAAGCCAGAAACCAAGAGTCAACTAACATTTATTGGACTGACTTGGGCTTCTTTTGGGCTAGAGAAAATGCCTCATTCAGCTCTGAACTAGGTGTAAATATTCGTACATATCAGATGTAGACATATGGGTAAAATATATGGCTCTAATAATATTTGTTTATCAAATTTATTCAACTTCGTCACAACCAATATATATATTAAAGAGAAATAATTATAAAATTACAATAAAATTATTATAAGTTACAATAAAACAACATTTGGTCCATGCAATTAATAATAAAGTTATATAAAATTCATATAGTAATTAAGTTATCTTCGTACACAATATAATGAGAAAGATAATGGATGATTGGTATGTCTATTTTGGATAAATCAATATGTAATGAGAAAGATAATGGATGATTGGTACGCCTATTTTGGATAAATCAATATGTATCATTTCATATAGTAAGTAAGTTATCTTCGTACACTATAATGAGAAAGATAATGGATGATTGGTACGTCTATTTTGGATAAATCAATATGTATCATGCACAATGTTTTGACATCCAAATGAACAAAGTATTGAAGATTTGATACAGATCTAACTTTGCTATAGTCCATAAGGATATTGACTCTTGTTGGCAAATAAAAAAAATAATGCAATTTATATACCAGTGAAAAAATTAAACCACAAAAACTTTATATACAACTAAAGTTAATATATTGTAATTAAAAAAAATATAAATCAATAAACCTGAGTAAAAAGGAATTTGCAGGTGAACGTCGTAATTTTTTTATGTGATTTTTTTTTTTTCTTTAACAATTTGATAACTCCAGTCTTCTTGTTTTAACTCTAGAGTGGACACAATTTAATATGTTTTTAATTGACGTGATTTAACATATGCATGAGATGAGAAACTTCTTCCAACCAAACTTGCGAATATCCCAATCCTCATTTCGTTGACTATATAAATATTATATACAGATTGATTACAACACACAAAGATACTTATTCCAATCAAATAAAGATACTTGAAAGAGATATTTAGGCTCAAAATATTAGTTGAAAAAGAGTTGTAACAATGCTTGGAAAACAATTAAGGGTGGATAATTGGTGGGTATGCCTTTGTTTCGACCCGTGACAATAATGAAAAAGACCACTCTCTTTGGGGTATTAGATTAAACATGAAACTCTATTCCCTTGTCTTTTCGAGTTCTTTATTAATGTTTCAAAAGGTGGGTCACCTACAACATAATAAAATTGGAATTGTCTCCATAGTTGAGGATATGTATAATGTGTATGTGAAAGAAAATAATCAGTAGAATAGTGTGCAATGATTATCAAAAATATTAAAAAATACTAATATGGGAGAAAGGTAGGAGTTGTATAGTAACGAGCAAAATAGTGAAATAATAATAATAATAATAATAATATCAGTAAATATTTAAGAGTTTATGAATCATTTGATTCAATTTATTGTGCTATGTAATCATATGTGTTAATTTATGGTGCTTCGAAGTAATTTGTGTAGATCTATACTTCTATCTAATTTTGTAATAATCATATGTGTCACTTTCGAGCTCATACTTGATTATGTATCAATTTGCGTTCAAATAATTTAGTATTTTTAAATTGTTTGATTTGTGTTTGAAAATAAAAGGAAAATTTAAATTAGAATGAAAATTAAAATATTTTTATAATTTAGTTTTCTTATAAATTAAATAATTATCTCTCATTTAGTTATCTTTTCTTCATAACTATATTAATTATTATTTACATAATATTATATTTGATAATTTTGGTAATACCTACAATTTTAACGATTAGACCGGTATTATCCGGATTATTTATTTGAACCCTAATATCATGCTTCTCACTCCATCTTATATCATAAAGGATATATTTATAAAATAAAATGTCTTAAAATAAAGTATTTCGGGATAAATTCACGTAATATTTTCAACCAAAAATGAAACAAAATTTCCTATCTCCACGTAAAAAATGATGCTTATCCATATTTGTAAAAAATTATCTCCTTGTGCATTTTTTCAACCACTAACAATAAATCAAAGAATTTTTCAATATATTCCTCAAATTCTGGAGTTTTATGCATTCAAAGGCACTGTAGAAGNAAATCAGACGCGACCTCAAACGCCAAAAACCTCTCACAAATCACAATCCAATTAGCTCACGCATGTTCTCTCTCACGCACTAAAACACAGCGTCTTCTCCATTTTACTGCCACAACCAAATGCGGAGCTTGCAGAGCGGTTGTTGAAGAAGGTAAACCCAAGAACTTCATTTACTCTTTTTAATTAATTTATAGTATTTGGGTTTTTTCTCGATTGTTTTGTTGTTGAATTCTTTCATAGAAACTGGATTCGTGTTTTGATTGCATATGAATTTAACCCTTAAATTTAGTGTTGGGAGTTGGAAATTTGCTAGATTCGGAGTGAATTTCTTATGCAAATCGAGCTAATTGGAAATCCTGAATTATTTCATGCTTAGATTTTATTTTGGGCTGAGCTATCATGAGTGTACTTATGTATATATGGTGCTGGTAAGTTCATACCTAATGCTTGTTTAGCTTCGATTGCGTTGATAAAGGCAAAAGTACGAATCTTTACAACATGGGATTTTTATCAGGTTCAAGAGCTGATGGGTGCCAAGCATTCGAAAAAATCGATCTCTGGTCGATATTCATCTTATGCATCGAGTTCGGGTTCGCGGGGTAATAATGCCTATCCACAATCGTATGCTCAGCCAGGGTACAACTATTCATCTCCACAGCCAACCTATGGTGGTCCACCACCCGAGTCCAAGAGAAAGCTGGAGAGGAAGTACTCGAGAATAGATGACAATTACAGCTCTTTAGATCAGGTACTGCTATCTAAAATAAAAGGATTTTTTTTTTTTTTTTTATATGTAAATTTCGGAAAATGAGAGGAATTGTTGTGTTTCCCTTGTGGTTATGTGGATTTTACTTAGTTTATTTTCAATAGCTGGAATATAAAAGCTGAATTTTAATTTTCGGGTTATAAAGGAAGAATAGGAGATATATTAGAGCATCATTATTTTGACACAGTAAAATTTTAATTCAAGTTTGGAATAAAGGTCTCTTTTAGTTGGTAGTGTCAATAATTTCCGTGTTTATAGTTCATGTTGCTGCAATTGAAGCACCCAGGACCTTTTATACTTAGGAAAAGTCTTTTTTCTTTTTTTTTTCTGTTTTTTTTTTTCTGCTTTGTGGGGTTTTTTCACGTGAGAGCAGTGTAGCTGGGTTTTTGTTTGTGTTCCAAAGGTGACTCGATTGATTGTTTGTGGATCTAGAAAATTAGTTTTTGTTTCCATTTTCCCGAATGTAATTGAAACAGCTTCCTCAGGTGTTGGTGATTTCTTATCAAATAGTCGTGGCATAGAATCATAAACACAGCTATCTGTTTATTGTAATTGTCTTATAATTATATTTTATTGAGTAGTCAGAAGAAATTAGCTACTGATTTGTTTTCAAAATTTTCATTGTGATATTTGGTGGTAATCCCATTGAGGTTTTTCTTATTGATTTATTTAACTCGTTTATGGTGCTTTAGAACAATGTGTTGACTCTTTTTTTTTCCATCACTTAATAATATTATGCAGGTCACGGATGCCCTTGCTCGTGCTGGTCTGGAGTCGTCAAATTTAATTGTCGGTATTGATTTCACCAAGAGTAATGAGTGGACAGGTAATTTTCATTCTCTGTTTTAAAAATGGTTGACAATAATTTCAAAGAGATTCACTTATACTCTCCCTCACAGGTGCAAGATCATTTCATCGAAGAAGTTTGCATCACATTGGAGACGAGTCAAATCCCTATGAACAAGCCATATCAATTATCGGAAGAACATTATCCAAATTCGATGAAGATAACTTAATTCCATGTTTTGGTTTTGGAGATGGTACTTTCCATTGAATTTGACTACATTTTCATCTTTATACGTAACTTAAAGTCAAAATCTTATGAGCATAAAACTTTCAGCTTCAACACACGACCAAGAGGTCTTCAGCTTTTTCCCTGATGAGAGGTTTTGTGATGGATTTGAGGAAGTTTTGAGCCGGTACAGAGAGCTCGTTCCTCAATTGCGACTTGCAGGTTCCTGTTTGAGTTATTAAGGTTTCTCCTTTTTCTAACTGATGCATTTGTACTTCCTACTGAAGTCTTTTGTTGTCTAAACAGGACCAACTTCATTTGCTCCTGTTATTGAGATGGCTATCACTATTGTCGAGCAAAGTGGTGGCCAGTACCATGTTTTAGTGATTATTGCTGATGGTCAGGTACTATTTCTATTGACCTAGTTATACTGGGTTTCCCTCGATGGTTCTCAAATTAAATTTGGGTCTATTCAGAATTTAATCATGGAGAGGGCTTTCACAGTCGAAGTTAATATTATCTACTGTTTATACGTGAACGATCGACTTTGAAGATGAATTAACCTGTTCCATGCTCTAAATTGTACAAGCCCTCATAAATCATTAGGTTCATTTTTTTTTTTTTAATCTTTTTGTTATTCTAGTAACCAGCTGTCAAATTCTTGTGCCCTACATAATTTTTTCCAGAGTGTGAGTTCACTGGTTGATGAAAAATTCTGTGGATATATATTATTCTATTTCAATAAGTTTATATGAGTTATTATGTATATAGGTCACAAGAAGTGTCGACACTAGTCGTGGCCAGTTAAGTCCCCAAGAGAAGAGAACTGTGGATGCAATTGTCAAAGCAAGGTATTTTTGGTGTGGTTTCAAACAATTTACTGGCAAATTATCCCAATTGCTTGAGACATGAATCATTTTCTATTTGTCTTTCTTTTTTTCCTGTTGCTTCTGTACAGTGAATATCCATTGTCTATAATATTAGTGGGAGTTGGTGATGGGCCTTGGGATATGATGAGGGAATTTGACGACAACATTCCTGCACGAGCCTTCGACAATTTCCAGGTAAGTTGACATGCAGTAACTCTACTCTCCCTTTGTCTTGGTTGATTAGTTAAAACATTTTTCTTGAGGTTTAGCCAAATTACAAGATGACCTAGGCTATGTTTGGGAAGCATATAAGCTAGTTTATAGCTTATTTGATTAGCTTATAAGCTTCATGTATTCAAATAAGCTGGGTTTGGTAGGACGAGCTTTTTTAAAAAGCTCGAGCTTATCTCATAATCTTCCTTGGGTAGCTTTTCAAATAAGCCCATTGAATTTTTTATTTCAGCTAGCTTATCAACTAATTTTACCAAACACTTTTATCATATAAGCTAGCTTTTCAGCCATAAGTCATAAGCTACCAGCTATAAGCTCGAAATTCACTTAAAAGCTATCAGTTGGCTTATCAGCTATAAGCTAGCTTCTCAGCTAGGTTTACCAAACATAGCCCTAGTCATTTTGAAAATTACAAGTACCTGACTTGTATCTTGACTTGTATCTGTTTCTCTTTCACAAGATGCATTCTCTATGAGTCGAAGATGGGGTAGTCGAACATTTTAAAGGGTAGTTAAGTTTTAATCTTAAACGATGAATGGAGTTCTATCTGTAACCAATTAAACCTCATGATATTATTTCTATGATGGTCCCCAGATAATAGAAAGAAGAATAACTAAACGTGAATTTTGCTTTTCCGTATTTTCTAGTTTGTAAACTTTACAGACATTATGTCCAAAAACATGGATCGATCTCGGAAAGAAGCTGAGTTTGCACTTTCAGCTCTGATGGAAATACCTTCTCAATATAAAGCCACACTGGAGCTTAACATTCTCGGGTTGGATTTATTTTTATTTTTATTTTTCTCCAAGCACCTTTTTCCCTTCGTTTTCTCCTCCCGATATTTTTTTATTTTATTCTTTAATTTTAATTTCTATTCAAGCCTCTAATTTTGCTCGTAATAAATAATGTGTCGACAGTGCATCCAGGGGTAAGATTATCGATAGGGTTGCTCTTCCTCCTCCTCTATACGGTACAGCTTCTTTTTCTACACCTAAACCTTCACGAGCTGGCAGTTTTCGACCTAGCGCACCTTCTAGCAGCCAACACGAGCCACCTGTTCGTACAAGCCAGTCTACAAGCAGCTATACTACGGATAACCATGTAATAATTTCGATGTTCTTTCTACTTCTGTTATTCGCGAAAATATCCGAACAAATACATTTAAAATTTTATTTAAAAAATGACGATATATGTTTAATTTCTCTCATTCTACAACAGCTCTGCCCTATCTGCATTACCGAACCAAAGAACATGGCTTTCGGCTGTGGACACCAGGTTTAACATTCATTATTCATTATATTCGTTTTCCTTTTCATTTCTGTTTTTTTTTTTTTTTGANTTTTATTTCTAAAGGAGCTCTAATCGAATGTAGACATGTTGCGAATGCGGACAAGAACTCTCGTCATGCCCGATCTGCCGAATGCCCATTCAAACAAGGATAAAGCTCTATTGAGTTATCACTGTGAACCATGAAAAATCGGCAGTAGCTTTTGCCAGACTGAATAATAATAGACGATTTTCATCAATTTCTCTGTACATATAAAGTTCTTGGCATTCTATACTGTGATTCTTTTCTTCTTTTATTTTCCTTTTCATTCCTCTTTTTATTTTTGGTCAAATGATACCATCATTTTATTGAATTAATGTCTGAGTTCAATTAAATCCAGGTCACATCTATACATACCCTTTTACTCAAGAATATATATGTCATATCTGGATGACCAACACAAACACCATTAAATCCATTATTGTTAGACAGGCTTAATGGCTGTTAGGCAACCATGATTTTTTAACAGATTTACATATTCTCAAATTGAAATATTATAATCTAAACAACACTATAAAAAGTCTGACATTTTTTACCATAAGTATTCGTTTTTATTAAAAAAAAAAATATGACGAGTCAATCCTAATCACAATACATTTATTTGAAATCAAACTTGATTCTTGAAAATTGTCCTTAGACTGAAAAAACACACACATACACACACACACACAATACATAAGGAATCACTGCAGGGGTTTTATGTCGGGAGTCACAGGACTTGAGAACAGATAAAGAATCAAAAAACAAATAAACAAAACCAGTGGGATTAAATGAATAGCTTTTTCTGCTTCTGGTGAAGGCCTCGAAGAAATATCCTTCTTCGAGATATCATCCGAAACTAAATCGCCATTAGCGTTGTGATTATTACTTTTATTACCCGTTAACGAGTCGTGATTTGAATCCAAACCCTTCAAAGCGGCTGGTGAGAAGTTCACGGAGAACTCGTCAGATGACCTGCCAGTGGATGAATAGCTTGTTGACCGATGCATATTTTCCGGTGAATCGACTTTTGGCTTGCAAGATGAAACAGAATGTAAAAGAAAGTATTAAGTTTGGAAGATTATATATATGAAATTTTAACTTTGAGGGGACATAAACATAATGCATAATATTAAATAGGGTGTTTGTGAGGTGAATACCTTTGCTTCTTCTTGTGACGATGGCTCAAGTATATATGTGCAGATCAAGAAAAGTGGTATGGTTTTGAGATTTTTTTATTTTGACTTGTGCATGTGATGCATATGTTTTAAATACATTTATTTAGGCATTAATTAATTATACTACGCATTACTTATGTGAGATTTTTAGCCGTTTTGAATTTCATAGAATGACCTCATTACAGTTTTACGTTTAATGTGACTTCAGTATGTATTTGTGTGTGCATGAACACAACATTCTTGTATATCCTATCTAGTTTTCGCGAATTTATATTTTCGCAGGGTGTAATTACACTTTTGCAGATTGATTTAATTCTCTTTAATATTACCGTAGCATTTTTGTCAGCAGATAATATATTTGAGGCATGAGATTATTGTAATAATTTAAAATTTAATCCGGTTCTCCTCTTACATGTTATGTTGTCTAACAACTGTATTTTCTCGTGAAAAAGTGCATATAATATAAATTGAAAAAATTTAACCGGCATATTCATAACTTTAAAACGAAATTGAGTAAAATATAAGTATGTACTTCTATTACTTCATAAAACACGAATCTTATATTAATTAAATTATATTTAAAACTTAAAAGAGTCAAACTTTCTTGATCCTTCGTCATCGTCTCACTCAAAGAACCGCTCATCATCACTAATAATAATTTGCTTCTGTCATGTGCTTTTTTCCTTTCCACAAAGTTCTTATGTTGAAATCATTGTTTCTTCAACAAAGTTCTTGGTGTTGAAATCTTTGTTTTTTTGTATAAGCCGAGAGAGATGTGTAGTAGTATTTATAGGAGAAGACTTATAGTCGTAATCCTACTAATATTACTTGTGCCGATAGTAGTATTTACATGAGAAGACTTATTATTCTAATCCTAATAATATTCCTAATGTTCTAACTTAATCCAAGTCAAATATTTGAACCTTCTAATATTAAAATGTTAATAATTAATTATATGTATATTTAGTTTAATTCCGTTTGATTATTATTCAGACCTAGATAATTATATGGACTAATAAGAATATAAAAGTATAATTAGATAAATGTTATATCGTTATCTATAGTATATTTTAAAATTTTACTGTAGAAATATATATATTTATTGAAATAAAGAGTGTGCTTATGTATTGATTTACACACTTTCAGAAAACCAACAAAAATATGTGTCTGCTGTATGTGGACATTTTCAACAATTTAATCTAAACTGTATCAAATTCAAATGGCACAATTTGATATAATGTTGGTAATATATTGAATATATTTTTTTTTCCCTCGAATTGATAATGTTGCGATTTAATTTAATTTCCATTAACTTCGAAAAAATCCGACTTTAAAAAGCGCATCGAAAAAACCTGTCGCCGTCCCCACAAACATCTGTTTTATCTGCCCACAAAAGAAGATATTCCTGTTCAATTTTCTGCTCTACAGAGCATAAACGAGCAATATACAGCATGCACATACAGTTTTATTTTCATCCATTGCGGCTAAAGCAACGCAGGGATTTTCTTTTCATCACTCGCTAAATCCCGTGCCCTAAAAATCTGCTTTCTTTAAGCTCACGCCACAGACCCACGTGCCAAATCACTCTAATCCGAAGAAATTCTCAATTCCTGCAATTAAATCTCAACTGGTAAATATATTTCAGAATTTTACTTTGTGGCCTGTTGAATAAATCTCATACTTCTTTTTGGTTTGGCATTTTTAATTGTAAAGGGTCTTTCTTTCTTGTGCCCTTTTTGGTTTTGAGTGTGAATGGTATTGTAAGTGGAGTTATTAGTAGATAATGTTTGAATATTCCGACTTCTTTTAGTGGTTCTTTTGGTACTATTTTTAATTCCTTTAACTTCATTGTCAGTTTTCAATCTATTTACAAGGATTGTAGTGGGGAAACTTGATGCTTTATTTTTAATCTTGTTGGTACAAATTATTCTAATTTTGCTAAATCAAGTTCATCTGAAGCAAAATTAACTTCTTAAAGTTATTAAAAGTTGTTAAGAGCCTACATGTAAAAGCAAATTATCAAAATAATGTCCTAGAATTATAGTAAATGAACAGCTTGTATTTCAAGAGAATGTATATTAAGTGGGTGTCTGTCAACACTTAATTAAGTGATTGCCTGCTTGCATTTAGTAAAAGTAGGGGAAGGTTTTTGTTTTGTTTTTTTAGGAAAGCAGGGGAAGGTTTGCTTCAGAAACTTATCCAATTTTTAACATCTATGCCCAACCCAGCCAAATCCATATCTCAGGCCCAAGTAAGTTCCGGCCCAAATATCGTCTGGGCCTGGCCCTCACGCACACCTAAGTAGAAAGCTGGTTATGGACCGTCAGATTTAGGGGTCCGGGGGGGCTGCTGTGACCCACTTACAGCAGCCCCAGCTGTTGCTTAACAACCTTTGGATGAGCTCTAATCTAACGGTCAACTAAGTTAACCTTTAAAATACACTTTCTTTTAGTTTTTCGTTTTCCTTTATCTCTGTATCTGTATAAAATAAAACACACACCCACAATTATATTACTCCAACAATGCTACCCATCATCCGCACGAACTCCCATAATTCACATTTTTTTTTAAACAACTTCAAAACCCCACGAAATTATTCTCTTCGTTCCTTTCTTTTCTTATTTCATTTTTAAATTTTGTTTCATTCTTTTTATTTTTTCTCTCTTTTCAACTAACATATCTTTTCTTGGCTCATTGCAATACTTAATCAATTCACGTAATAACTCAATCAGTAACGAAACTAATTAATGACTTATTTAACAATATGGCCTCAATATGATAAACACCAACAATAAAATCTAGTTCAGCTCCTTTATTACTATTAAGTATTAATCAGCCAAGTCGAGTCGAACTCGACATCAAAAATCGAGTACAAGCTGAACTATTCTATTTCTATTAAGTATTAATGAACTGAGTTCGATACTCAACGAGCCGATCTCGATCTTTAACGAGTCAAATTATAAAAAAATTTACAAAAAATCTTTTTTCATTCACCAAACGAGTTGTAATTGAGCTCGAGCTCGGCTCGTTTGATTTAATAGCACGATGAAATATAATATATATATATATATATATATATATATATATATATTCTTTTTTTCCCATGGGGCAATGCATGCAGTTAGTTCTAAAAGTATCTCTTGGAATGGATTTCTCCAATTGAACTTTAATTTACGTTGAGTTGATAAATCATGCATGATCTGCTTCTCATCCTCATGGAAACTTCAATATTGCTTGGCATTCGAAACGATGCACAATATTAAGTCATGCCATGCCAGAGGTGGACAAAAAATTGATTCCGGTACATAGTTTGCTTGTAAAATGTGGTAAAGGGTACTTAATAAATGGAGGATGGATATATATGTATGTGGATTTCATGCTCATAAAACAAGTACATGTTGCCTTTAATAAAACAACTTAACTGGTGGCTGATGGATATATTATGTATATATGTATATTTACCCAAAAGATATTAATTAGGGGTTCACATATTGATAGGGAGAATATCATGTCTCGTCCAATTTATCAGCAAAAAAAATTTTTCCTTTAAAGTATCGTGTAAGAATAATAAGTAGACGGGTAAAATGCAAAACAAAAGTATTCGGCAACTAGAAGGAGGAGGTTTTGTGTGAGCTGCCGGTGTTGATAATATAGAGACCATATTGTTAAATAAGTCATTAGTTAGTTCCATTACCAACTTAGTTATTACAATGAACCGATGAATTGTTGCAACGAGCCAAAAAGAAATATTTTAGTCCATGTTTTAAATATCTTATCATACCGATCGGTAATACCGGATACCGGTCATTGGTACGGTACAATTACTCACAAAATACAAGATTTACGGTTATACCGATTTGTACCGAGATCATATCGTAAATACCAGAAAATGTCGGTCCAAAATACCGACCAATAAAAGAAATTTTAAAAAAAATTGATTAATTTAAAAACATAAAATTTAAATTGGTTTAATTTATTTTATTTTAATCTCGTTGAGAAATTGAAAATAATTATTATGGTCATTTATTTTTTTACTTTTTTGTATTTGGTATTATATATTTTTATGTATATTTATATGTATCATTATATTTGTTTGTCCGATAATACTACCGATATTACCGTTTCGGACTAGATCGATATAACCACGGGTACAGTATTTAAAACACTTAGTTAAAAAGAGAGAAAAAAAGAAAAAACAAAAAGAATGAAACAAAATTTAAAAATGAAATAAGAAAAGAAAGGAACGAAGAGAATAATTTCGGGATGGTGGAATTTTGAAGTTGTTTAAAAAAAAAAAAGGTGAATTATGGGAGCTGTGCGGATGATGAGTAGCATTGTTGGAGTAATATAATTGTGGGTGTGTTTTATTTTATACACATAAAGAGATAAAGGAAAATGAAAAAGAAAAACTAAAAGAAAGTGTATTTTAAAGATTAGCTTAGATGACCGTTAGATTAGAACTCATCCAAAGGCTGTTAAGCAACAGCTGGGGCTGCTGTAAGTGGGTCACAGCAGCCCCCCGGACCCCAGATTTAGGGGTTAACCCTGCCCCTTGATTTGCAATATATAAAAGCCCTCACCCTCATTCTTGCCCGAACACTTCTGGCGGCTGATCTCCCTTCGAGCTAGATTTGAATAATCTCTCTTAAAACAAAGTTTTTGCTAAGTCTCAGGTACCCAGTTTGTTTAATGAGCTGGTTTGTGCACAAGGGTGGATTAGAGAACTTTTTATGACAGGGCCACAAATTTACTGTTGCTGAGCATGAATGTATTGGATTTTTTGATTTTTCAACAGGTTCAGATTGCTAAAGCCTATGAAAAAGGTGGGGTAGCTTGCTTTAGTGTTTTGACTGGTGAGAAGTATTTCCAGGTACAAGCCACATTTTTTATCTTGTAGGCTGCACTGCATTGTGTAGGGGCATGCTTATTTGATTATTATTTTATGTATGTTTTGCTCCTGTTAGGGGAGTTTTGAAAATTTGGAAGCTATCAGTAAATCTGATGTACAGCTATTAGTGATAGACGCATGGCAAATCTTCTATGCTCGTGTAAAAGGCTCTGATGCTATTATACTAATTGCTGCCATTTTACTTGACTGACTTGGACATCATGTATATTGTTACATATTTGATGTAACTAGTTGTGATTTTGACCTTTTTGTATTTTTTTTGTTTATTTTGGAGAAGATGAATAAAGGATGGAGATAGATACAAATGGAGAGAATATAGAAGAGAGATTGAGATTGTAAACAGAAAATGATATGCTCCATAATGATGCTTTCCCATTCAACCAGAGCATGGGAAATTACAGATTGTGGGTCCCGTGGAATTTCTGTTTGTGACTAAGACTAATGCACATAACTGAAGAAAAGAAATAGGGGCCTTTATTTAAATGGGATGGTCAAAAACCAATTTTATTTAAATGACCCTGTGGATAATTTTTTTGTGTGAATGTACATTTGTTGTATGATGATTTTCTCATAACGAATGTAGATTCGTTATCTGATGATTATTTTATAACGAATGTACTTTTGTTATGACATATCCCAATGTTTCATAACGAATATACTCTCGTTATGACTAAAATAGTTGGTTATATATAAATTGTAAAGAATAAGCATAAGAGCATTGTATATTATTTTCTATTTTAGTAACATATGCTTCCACAATTCTCTTGTTGAAGTAACATATATTTTTTTCTTGTAGATATTGATTTTAGCAAAGATGGTGTGGATAATAGTATGTCACTATGTTGAGTTTAAAAAGAATATGGATGGCACTTGGAAGTGGAGATATGTGAATGAAGATGAAGAGAATGCCAATCCCATTTATGTTCGCAACGACATATCTTTCTTGGAGCTTGAAGAAGTGGTCCTGAAGCTCATAAAGTTCGATAGCATCTCACACGTAATAGAATTGTGATCACTGAACCCAAGAATGACCGAATTTCCAGTCCCCCCTGTGAAGATCGATTCTGATGACAAAGTGAAATGGTATATATCTGTTTGTGACGAACATCCTCTTTGCGTAACACTTGTTGAAAAACATGTTGAGGAAGAAACGAACAATAGGTGATTGAACCACTTACATAGGATAATGAAATTTGCGAGCGGCTCGAAGGTCAATGAGACAGTATGATGGTGGAGAATAGAGATAGTGTAACGCCGAATATTATTACTATTTATGGAGCTTGACTTTATTTTTTTAAATAGCCAGTTTCCTTATTTAGTGCATTTAATTAATTTTTATTTACATTAAATCGAGTAATTAGTATGAAATTTAAGTCATGGGAACTTTATTCGATCTTTAATTATTAAAATCGAATTTATTTAACTCAAGTATCGATTATATTTTTAAAACTGAGCCTTGAATAAATCAAAAATTTTATTGAAGTGGATCGAAGCCGAATATTTAATCAATTCCAACCTAATCATTTTTGGGCGAGTCTAACTATTTTAGCAGTTGGAAAGAGTTGGAGTTCAAAGTTGCTCGAACTGAAAAAAGCTCTGGGTGAAAGTATAAAGCATTTGATGCTCAACATCATGAAAAAATGGAAGCAACACGTTCTTTCAAATTGGATCTGGAAAAATAATCAGGAGGAGGTAAATTCACTAACCTACAAAAATGCGATCTTTTATCGAGGAGTAGGGACACAAGAGTGCTATTGTTGGGGCGTACTACGTACGACCATTCACGAACGTACTACGTACGGCAACAGTGGCAATGCCTATCTCGTTGCTCATCTCCTTAGTTAGACCCCTGCATTCTTCCGTGGTGAAGATGTTGTTCATTTCGATTTAAAAGTCAAGGGATGGGTAGTTCTATATCTATTTCTACTTCTGGTTCAAGTTACTCATGGAAATGAAATATTTTATATATTTATTTAAAAAAAAATCATACACCACACACTCCTCGACATATTTATTTAATATATTTAACTTCTATCTGCAAATACTATCCCGTTCTGATTCTTGACTACGTTTATTTCTGTTAGAATAATCTAACTTCTAGCAGGTTGTTTTAAAAACTAACTTAAATACTGTAGTAAGTTTATGCATCTTTACAATTAACTTTTTTATTGCTTTTTCAGAATGATCATTACGCTGCCGAATTCCATGGTGCACCACGAGCTGTTGGAGTTTTCAACTGCCAAGGAGCTGGAAATTGGATAAAGAAATCTCTTTACGACTGTTTATGGATAGCTGATTTTTTGGAGCTGCTTGATTCGCATGGAGATTAAAGCTGCTAAGCTGTTTTAGCTTGAGGCACTCTTGCTCTTAATCCCTACACAAATTTTGTAATGTTGACGCTGTACCAGATTAATGTGTTGTATACTTAAAATGTGGTGATGAATTTATAACTACATATGATGGAATTTTTCACTTTCTCAAATAGTGGCGCCTAGTTATAATAATAGCTGTAATTTGTTTTTTCATGTGCATGCCATTTTTTTGGAGGTTCAACATTATGAAAAAGTGTAATATCATCAGAAAATTCTGGTGGGCCTCACTTTAAAAGGTACTTCAAGCAGCAGGTCACTCATTTTCCACACATTGACAAAATTGTACCGCATAGAGAGTAGAAAATGTTGGTTCTAGAAAAGTAGCATAATTTTCTTGTTTTTGGGAAATATTATTAATATTTTTGGTCGAAATTCACGTAGTTGAAAGTAGCAAGTAAAATAGAATATCTATTATTATCTTGGACATTGCCATGTCACCAACCTTGATCTGAACAATCAAACACCCTGAATCTTCCCAAGAGCCTAGAACCATCACATGCTTTCTAAGAATTGTTGAAGGAATAAAAATAGTCATTTTGGCAATTAATTTTCTTGACATGGAAAAAACATATCTTCTTACTTCTTAAATTAGAATTGAAAATTCCTCCTACTATACCCCATGCTCATAAAACTCAATTCCGCTGCTATATATAATCACTAGCGGCACCGCCAAAAGTTTGTTCAAGTTATTCCTAAGAAAGTCCTTTTTCTCTTCCTCTAAAATCGCTCATCAACCCTTCACAGCACTTCATTTCAGACACAATCCTCGTAAAGATTCAACTTTTTACAAACCCCAGCACATTTTCATTGTACCATACGGGATTTTCATAAAAACCCCAAGAATTATATCAACAGTAAAAGGGATTTCGGTACTGGGATTAAACATTTGAAGGGGGAAGCTAAAATGGCGGCGGCGGCGGCGGCCGCACCGTGCATCAAAGGCGGCTCTTTGATGATCAACGGGGAGACGCTGTTGACCCGTGTCCCGTCAAACGTCGTTGTTTTCCCGGTGACTGACCGCTCATCTTGTTCTTCCTCTTCTGCTGTGTTTCTTGGTGCCAGCTCGAGTGTCCCCAGCTCAAGACATGTTTTTGGTCTTGGGGTTCTTAAGTAAGTTTTCCTTTTCCTATCTTGTTTTTGGGGGTTTGCTAATTGCTATGCAGGTTTCTAGTCTTGCTTGTTATTTATGAATAGTATAAATGAAAGATCTTGTTTTTTNCAATATGTAATTTAGTTTTGAGGTTCTTATTTGCTGATTATTGTTTGTACCTGTTCGAATATTTCCAATTTTTGCTAAAAGGCAGAGTTCTTGTACTGATGAGTTATTTGACAAGGTTATTATGATTCCCTCAGTAGTTTTTTTCTTGATAAGGAATTAATATAATGAAGATTTAGTTGTTGAAATGTGAACTTCATGCAAGCTCTTTTCTTCGCCTCTTTTCTCGTGTCTGTGAGCACAGCAAAATGAGAAAAAAAAAATAATCATTGCATTTTCCAGTGTTACTAAAGTTTTATCGACAGCATATGAATTTTCTTGCATCGGGTCGTACTACCACTGGTGAAAAATGGATATTTATGATCCTGTTTTCTGTATGAACCCTGGTAATTATTGCAGAGAATATAGGTATATGTGCCTCTTCAGACATAAAATTTGGTGGATGATACCTCGTTTCGGATGTTCGGGAAGAGATATTCCCATGGAAACACAAATGCTGCTATTGGAAGTTAGGCTGGAGTCTGTTGCGGCCTGTGATGATAATTTATCAGTAAAGAATGGCCACAACACTTTCTATGTTTTGTTGTTGCCCGTTTTAGAAGGACAGTTTAGGGCTTCGTTGCAAGGTAATTCAGCTAATGAGCTCGAGTTCTGCGTTGAAAGTGGTAAGTTGACTCGAAGCATTTTTTTTTTTTCCATTTCTTTAAACTCAAATGAATATGAAGAAAAGGTATTCGCAGCATTTACCGGTTCCACTGAAAATTGTAAATTTTGATGGATCTTTCTTTAGGGGACACCCATGTTCAAACCACAGAGGTATCAGAATCGGTCTTTGTAAATTCGGGGAACAACCCGTTTGAGCTCATTACAGATTCTTTCAGGTAAATCTGGTTTGTTTCTATTGATTCCTCAATATTAATTACGATCATGCTTGAATTTGACTAACATGTCATGTATTTTCTCTCTGCAGGATAATTGAGCAGCACAAAGGCACCTTTACTCATATTAAACATAAAAAGGTAGGATAAATGAGAATGTTTTCATGTATGTGATTCCTATGACTTTGAAAAGCCTATACGTGATGTTTTCTAATTTTGTAGAACCCTGTACATTTAGATTGGTTTGGTTGGTGTACGTGGGATGCTTTCTATAAAGATGTTAATCCACGGGGCATTAGAGAAGGTATTGAAAGGTATATCGTGCTTAAATCTTTAATCGCAATTGTATCATGTAAGTTTCTTTATGGAAAACTTGGTAGTGACTTGTTAATACTTTTTGACAGTTTTCTTGAAGGAGGTTGTCCACCAAAGTTTGTGATTATCGATGATGGATGGCAAGATACATTTAATGAATTCCAAAACGAAGGAGAACCTTTTATAGAAGGGACACAGTAAGTATTTCTTATCTTTTGATGTTAAGACTTGTTATGGTAACTTGAAAGTTTCTTATTTTGGTTATATATATGCACTGTCTTGTAGATTCGCGAGTAGATTAATCGATATCAGTGAATGCTTCAAGTTCAAGAGCTTTGGTGACGATGATAGTAACTGTCGTGACCTGCATGACCTCGTCCAAATTATCAAGGAAAAATATGGTGTCAAGTATGCTCTGCTAACATTGATTTATTTGATTTTTATTTTGTTTAATCCTGACCTCGACAATCAATTCTAAGAGTAATGTGAGATTGAGCTTATATTTGTTTTACAAATGAGCCCATCATGAGGTGAAAGTTGTACAATGTAAATATTTCTGTAAATTTGAAATGAAACCAATTGGTTTGTTCCTCTCGTATCTTTTGTAGCTTTCTTTGAATCTTCCATCGTTCTTTCCTTTTTTCTTTTCATTTCCATAATTAGGCTAAATCTTAAGAGTAATATTTGTATGTACCCCGATAGTTTTTAACTGCCATTACAAAATGGCGCTAATGGCAAGCCATTTTATGGTACAGATTTGTGTACGTGTGGCATGCGTTGATTGGTTATTGGGGTGGGCTCCTTCCTTCATCTGAGAAAATGAAAAAGTACAATCCCAAGATAACATATCCCATACAATCTCCTGGCAATGTGGGAAACACTCGGGACATAGCCATGGACAGCTTAGAAAAATACGGAGTCGGTCTTATAGATCCCGATAAAATTTTCGATTTTTACAATGATCTCCATAGCTATCTCTCGGGCATCGGGATTGATGGAGTAAAAGTAGACGTCCAAAATCTCATAGAGACACTCGGGACAGGAAATGGGGGTCGGGTTTCTCTCACTAGACGATACCAAGGAGCACTTGAGGAGTCCGTTGCTAGAAATTTCAAGGAGAATAACTTGATATGTTGCATGAGTCATAATACTGACTCGATTTACAGGTTTGTATTAAATAGAAATGAAAAAAACCCAGCTAGTTAGAAAAATTAATTACATAAAATAGCCTTGAGGTTTTAACTGCCCTACTGTTTGCCTCGGTATTTGTTGACATGATGGAATCTGCTGATGTAGAAGAAAAAATTTACGTACGCCCTTCAAGTGTGATAATAATATATTGAAAAATAAAGTAGTTGGTTATCAAATTCTTTTAGAAAGGTGAGGGAAGTGATTGTAATAATATGCAGTGAAGTCAGTAGCTCATGTTCACTCCACTAGGGTGGATGCAAAATGCGAGTGAGGATGTGAACTTCAGACATGGTTAAATGGTTTTGACTGAAGATTAATTTTGTATATTTTTTTTAATAATTAGCTCTTATTTTCAAATTAGAGACAGCTTTTTGACTGAAGATTAATTTTCCAGCTCAAAGAGAAGTGCCACCTCAAGAGCATCCGAAGATTTCATGCCTCGGGAACATAAATTTCAGACATTGCATGTTGCCTCTGTGGCCTTCAATAGTCTTCTACTGGGAGAGATTGTCGTGCCTGATTGGGACATGTTTCAGGTATATTTTGGATGCTAATAGTTTACATTTTACTCTAATTTTCGTTTCGATTTATGTGGTTTAGATATATGAACTATTTTATCTATTTATTTTTTTAAAAAAAAATTATACACCGCACACTCCTCAACATATTTAATATTTAACTTCAATCTGCAAGTACAATCCCGTTGTTTATTTCTGTTAGAAAAACTAACTTCTAGCAGGTGGTTTTAAAAACTAACTTAAATACTGTAGCAAGTTTATGCATCTTTACAGCTAACTTTTTTACTGCTCTTTTAGAGTGATCATTACGCTGCAGAATTCCATGGCGCAGCACGAGCTGTGGGCGGATGCCCTGTGTATGTGAGGTAAGAACCGTAACTCACTTTACTTACTGTGGTAAAAAGGAAGCGAGAAAAGGTCTTTGATTTTTTTTTTTTTCCCCATTATATTACTACAGTGATAAGCCGGGCATGCATGATTTCAAAGTACTCAAGAAGTTAGTATTGCCTGATGGGTCAATACTGAGAGCTAAATATGCTGGTCGGCCCACTCGTGACTGCTTATTTGTGGACACAGTAATGGATGGGAAAAGGTGAAACAACCAAAATTACTGGATAATTTATGGAATTCTCAATTTTTTTATTTTTTTTATTCTTCTTCAAATAATCCATTGTGCTGACTGTTTTCACAAGCCGTGCAGCTTACTGAAAATATGGAACGTGAACAATTGTTCTGGATTAGTCGGAGTTTTCAACTGCCAAGGAGCTGGAAATTGGCCGTTGAGAGATGGGCCGTCACATGATTCCGATTCATCCTCCGAGTCATCAGTTTTATCCGGCCATGTTAGTCCTGAAGACATCAATTTTCTTCAACAAGTAGCTGACGAGAGCTGGAATGGGGATTGTGCTGTCTATGCTTTCCATTCTGGTATGCATGTACCTTCTAATTTTCATTGGGCTTGGTTAAATTACGAATAAACCAACAATCTTTTCGAAAATACAAATGCCACATCATGTCGTATAGGTTCCCTTTCCCGATTGTCGAAAGAAGAAGGCGTTGAAGTTTTGTTAGGCACTCTCGAATGTGAAATATTCACAATCTCCCCGATAAGGGTAAAATACAAAAGCAATCTTTTCAAGCAATTTCTGTTTTTGTTTCGGTTTTGTTACAGCAGCTCAATTTTTTCACTGGTACCTCATGCCACTTGAACAGGTTTTGAACGAACTAGTCGATTTTGCTCCAATTGGACTGATCGACATGTTCAACTCGGGTGGCGCTATCGAAGGTGTGAGCTTCGTAAACGAGCCTTTCAGGAGCACAGTAAGAATAAAAGCGCGTGGTTCTGGCCCTTTTGGAGCTTACTCAAGTAAAAAACCAATTTACTGTGCAGTGAACGGAGAGAAAGAGGAAATTGAATACAATTCAGTTAACAGGTTGCTGATAATTAAACTCGAGGGTGAATGCAGTATTAGGTATATTTATCTGGGATATCAATTCTGATTCTGTGTTAGATTAATATATATTACAAGGATTCTTGTTGTCGAAAAAAAAATGTTGTAACGTGTAAGCGAATAATTGTAAAGTCGTCGTTTGAAGTGGACAAAATTTCAATGTCATTATAGTTTGGAGCTTATTCGAGCAAAGAACTGAGTTCTTGCAATGTGGAGAAGAAGGGTGAGGAGTTTAGTTTGTCCAGAAAATGGATTGTTTAACAGTAAATCTTCAAGTGGGTGTTAGCAGCTTACATGTTTCCATGTCAAAAGTTGAAAGCAAAATAAGAGACTGATGAAGTGTTTTTCCTTCACTGTACAGAGAGGTTTTTTCCTGTTAACATAACAAATCCTTCAAAATATTAGTTTTATTTCGTGTTGATGCATGCTTTTATTAAAAGTTTTAATAGTGATTTTGGATTTTTGTACAAGGGCTTTGCATTTTGGTTTTTGAGAAGGGATGCATGTCTAATGGGAGTATAATGTATTTTATTTAAAATAAAATAACGTTTGGATGTAGTATATTGGTTAAAATTAACATATCGAAACTGTTTAGAGGTTTGACTCGTCAAATCAACTAATTGGCTTATTGATTAGTTTCTTTAGTAGAAAATGCTAATTTTGAAAAAAAACTCTCAATATAGGAGCAAGTTAAGGAGAGAATTTGCAAAAAAACATGTTAACATAAAATATTTTAAATAACTATAAACAATTTGCTAATTATCAAATAACAATATATAAGTAATTAATACAAATCGCTAGTCAAATCAATTATTGCCACTTGTTGATGTAATCATTTATTCACTGTCAACTAATAGTTAAACATGACAAAGTAAAAAATAGACCAATCGATAACCGATACAATCGTTTATTCACTATCAACTATTAACCAAACGTGACAAAGTAAAAAATGGACTAATAGATAACCGATACAATCAACAAACGTGACAAAGTAAAAAATGAACTAATAGATAACCGATACAATCAACCTATCGGACCGGTATAATATTTATTGTATTTTTATAAAAATAGCTTTAATCTTTTAAATATATTTTGATATAAATAAAAGTATATATTCAAATATTTTGGGTATAATATAAATTATATATTAATTATTTTATTCATTTTCGTGTTTTAAATGATATAAATTGAATATTTAATTAATACTATTTTCTATCTATAAGATTTATTATTAAAATACTATCATATTATTTCAGAATATTAATAAATACGCACTATCAATTGAACCGCCAAACGGTTCCGGTTTTGAGAAACATATAAATTTTGAGTCTCTATTTCCTCGCTCCCGGCTTTTCGATTTCAGAGCTTCTCTTGAACCTAGCCTGTCGCCGGACTTTTTTTTTATTCGTCTTCCAGTTCTGGTAAAAATTTGTGATTTGAAAGCGACAATGCACGATTCTATCTCGCGCGATCGATGAAATCGAATTCGATTCTTTTCCTGTGACGAACCACCAGTAGTAAGAATCTTACTCGCTCATGATGCGTGTATTTTGTTCGTGAATCGATTGGTGCAGATAGTTATTGAGCTTATTTCATGATATATCGTTGAATTGATTGGCATATATTATCTGCTGCTGCTCTCACTCTCTACATATATATACACCCAACAATTTCACAATGATAGACATATGTGTACTTCACAGTGATAGACATATGGGTATTAACAATACAGGGGGTTTTGACAGCAGGTTCAAATTCACATCAGTTTCCCCAATACAAGAACACCGTAGTTTAAAAGAATGGAGCTTGCCGAACATAGAAACATCACTGGTCCTTCTCCGGCTACCCGCTAAGCACATCGCCGTCTGCAGATGCGTATGCAGAAGTTGGCTCTCCCTAACATCCTAAATTCATCCTTTTTCATAACACGCAGATAGTTATTGAGCTTATTTCTCATGTCTGTTTCTCTGTAGGCTGATGATTGCTTGAAGTTATGATTATTTATCCGAAAATGGCAGCAGCAGTGCGATCTCAGCAACCAGTTTCTATACAAATTGTGAGTTTTTTTTTGGCTTAGAAATTATGTTTTATCTGTTCGTACGAGCTTTGAATTCTTTCTTATGGATGGTAGGTTGGGAGGGAATTTGTAGAGAAATACTATACCATTCTACATAGCTCGCCGGAGTTGGCTCATATATTCTATCAAGACAAGAGTACCATCCATCGTGTGGAGGAGGATGGCTCCATGAGTGTCACCACAACCTGTCAAGTAAACTACCGTTTTCCTGTTCCTTATTATTCCTAGGACTGTTTATTCTGTAGTATTTCACGTACATTTGGTAGGTTACAATACATGGAGGAAGGAGAGAACTGATGGAACAATCATATTTCTTAAGTTTGGTATTTCCTCTTGAAAGTTTTACATTTATTTCCACTTTTTTGGATGATGTTAATGATTTAATGCATTCAGGAGGTGTTATCTGATTTGAATTAGAATATCGAGCTTCGATGGCTCTTTTTATTTTAAATTCTTTTTTCCCTGTTGTTGATGTGACTTAACCATGAAGGCTATCAAAGAGAAGATTGTCTCGCTCAACTATGGGGACTCAAGAGTTGAGATCAAGTCGGTGGATTCATTTGAGTCTTCTGAATGTAAAGTTAATGTTTTCGTCACTGGCCATCTCGTGGTGAATGACAATGTAGTTAAAAGTTTCGCCCAATTCTTCATTCTTGCTCCACAAGATAATGACTACTTTGTTTTAACCGACCTGTTACGATATATCGATATTGTCAATGGGAACCCAACTATAGGAAGTGATATTGTGGTGCATCCGACCACAACACCAGGTAACTCTACCCCTTCTGTACATTTTTCTGTTCTTGTTCTATCCATTGCTCTCTGAGTTAATATAACTTATTTTTCTGCAGAGGAATCTGCCTTTGCAGATGAAGTTTACAGTCCATCAGAGTATGGCAACAGTGTGTTCTTCAGTGGAGTAGAAGTTCCAGTATCCGATTTCGTTGATGAGGTACGGGATGATAATGAGCTTGTCAAATTTCTAATAAGTCACATGTGTCTGTTGTACGTAGTGCTGGCCAGCTTTAAAAATGATTCTATCTCTTAGATCTATTTTTCTTTTGTCTTTTTTATCCATTTTGTCTTTGCCATTGAACGTTAGTTATAAAATCAAGACATAATGCCATAAACACTGGCTGGATTATGTGTATCCCATTTTTGTAGTCCATTCCTTGCTAAATAAATTAAGCCAGGTGTGAACATACATGGTTTTCGCTTGTTGTTATGAAATGTTTTGGCTTGTGACATGCTTATTGATATTATCTTGGATAACTGAATTTCGGTCAAGAACGTTTTCACACTTTATATCTCTATTAACATATTGTTCTCTCATTTCCTTTTGGCGGTTTTGTGTTTCATGTTTTTATCCTGACAATACATTTTGTTTATCCTTTTGACAGTGATCTTGTGATATGCCTACCATTTGGGATGACATATCAACTTGAGTTATTAATATTGATTTTTGACAATCGACAATGGTGCCTGGTTATTTCATGATATGCCGTTGAATAAATTATAGAGACTGGAATCAGTCAAGGTTGATGAGTGTGATATGGGATGATGTTGAGATGGTTATGTTGCTGCAAATTCAAGTCCCGTTGATGAATAATGTTGATTTTGGTTTTTAAGGGGTTTTTTCACAATAGCATATTATCCTTGTGTTTCAGGCTTCTCCCATATCAATATCAATTGTTAGACACCTATCTTTTGCTCCAGAGAAAAGATGTGCAGATTCTCGGACTTCTCCCATATCAAATGGAGATGGCAGTGGTTACAATAAAGGGGATGATAAAGAGCTGGTGGTTAAATCCATTGCCAAACACGATCAAATTTCGAAGAAGTCATATGCGTCTGTTGTACGTAGTGGTGGCAGTGATTACAATAAAGGGGGTCTTGACAGCAGGTTCAAATTTACATCATTTCGCCCAATAAAAGAAAACCCTAATTTAAAAGAAGAATGGAGCCTGCCGAACAGAGAAACATCCTTGGTCCTTCTCCGGCTACACGCAAAGCACATCGCCGTCTGCAGATGCGTATGCAGGAGTTGGCTCTCCCTAACCACCTCACGTGGATTCATCTCTGCACAGCTCGACCATGCCCGGTCTGAATCCGATTCCCAATTCCTTTTCCACTATTCAGTCCCCCGTTTGGAAAGAGACAAGGCCCCAGTAAAACCCACCCAATCAGGCCTCGTCTGCTTTTCCCCGGACACATTGATTATTGGCTCGATCAATGGTCTGATCTGCTCCACTGGCAACTGGAGGTACTGCAGCTGGCCGTCTCCCAATGACGTCTGGATATGGAACCCATCCACTGGGCTCTCAAAGAAACTCCCCATGGGCATCCGCTTTTTCCAGCGCTTTTCCAATATTCAGGCCACATTCGCCTTCTGCTGGGACGAAGAGTCTGACGTGTACAAGGTGGTTAGAATCATTTCGAAGAAATGCGAACCAACTTTTGCCGAGGTCTGGTCCTCGGATATTAACTCCTGGGAGGAGATTGACCTCACATACCATCCTTCTTTCTATCACCCCTCAAACCCTGTGAACTTGGTCCCAACCACCGTCTGCAATGTGTTTGTCAGGAATTCCCCCCACTGGGCTGTCCTCGATTATGATGGGAATCCCTTTATCATCTCATTTGATGTCAAAACCAACAAGCTCAAGCTGTTCTCTTTCCCATCTCAACTATCTTCTGACCCGGAAGATGTCGCTATGCGAATTACCACTGGGAGTGGGCAGCTTTTTGTTACCAACTGGATGGGGGAATTAGCGGTGCTGGATTATTTATATATGGCCGCCGAGGATGAGGAGACGCTGGCCCCTTTACTTTCTGAGGCACAGAGTATGTATTGTCCATACCGTTTGTGGAAGATGGAAGTGAATGGTCGTTGGATTTGTTCACGTCTGGTTTCTTTTGGTTTTGATTTCCATTATTGCCTGAACTCCGTGGGGGGAGGGAAATATATGCTGCTGCAGACGCCTTCAGATATAGCATTGTACGACATTGTGAAGAGTCGAGTTATTAGGACGTATGAAGTTCCCCAGGATTTTTTTTGTATATCTTCAGCCTTTGACTTTGTCGGGAGCTTAGTGTCGATGGAGGGGTCTGAGCCCTTTGGGGACGATTTTAGCAAATTGATCACTCCCACCTGGCCGAGTCATCTGCAGATGAACTTGAACCCCCGCAAACAACTCTTGGTAAGTTCACGTAGTAGTATTATTAGTATATATATATATATACATACATATGCATTTGGTGCCCGGGCTTACTTGTCTTACAGATTTGGCTTGCACTATTTTTGTGACTCATAATTTATAGATGAACCATGCAATGCACGTGCATCTTTATCAAAGTTCCCAAGGTTCGATCACACATTTATAGTTAGTACCGACTCTTTGCAGATGCTTCTGGAAGAGGATAAATTCTTTGCTGATGAAATGGAACGTGATCCTAAAGAGTCGCCCCTCCCTGCACCTTTTTGGGAGCATCAACATCATTTTAATCCTTAGGGTATTCGTACGAGGCGTTGATTGGGGCAAGGAATGAGAGGCGTGATAGTTGGTTTGTTATTGTTAAATGCCAAGATGATAGTATCCGGCTGATTGATGGTCAGAACCTCAGTTTGCACTTAGAACTTGACAATGGTATTGTGTTTGGACATCTCTATTTATGGTCAAGCATGTTGGCTGGTATCATTCCAAGTTTTTTTTTTTTTTTTTTCCTCTTCTAATAGTAGGGAGAATCGGGGTTGGAACCATAAATATCATGTAAAATGGAAGGTACAGGGTTCATTTCTGTACTAGGTCCTGTTCTCGTTTCATTCAATCGGCAAGCACTTCCACTTAAAAGTAGATAAATCGTGCTCAAAGCAACAGTATCTGAAATGTACTAAATCCCTTTCTCCTTCCCAAAACCTTACGCATGGGAAATTCTAGCTTATTCGAAAATATGAAGCATTTAAATCCATCCACATTAACACACACGTTAAAGTATTAATGAGTTTGTGCGTTTTAGTTCCAATGAGAACGTTGTTGTTTCAAACTATCCATTTTGCCTTCGGTTCTTCAACCATTTTTGCACTTCAACTTTTACATTGTTCATTCTATATCCATCACAAGCATATTATGCTATTGTTCATCTACAAAGCTTGAAAACTCTAATTTCCGTTACCATAATTTTTCTATTCCTTGTAGCCTTGTAGGATTATGCGACGGAGCTCGTGTGGAATGATTTCTTGGATTTTGGACGTATACAAAGAAGATCTGCAATAAATACGATAGAACTCGATGAAAGACCTTTATTTGGAAGATCTTTATTCTTGGAAAATTTTGTTCCTGTATTACTTCAAAAGTATGAAGTTTTTCAAACAATTTAACGAATCGCCTGACGCCGAATTCCTTTTTCATATATTGGAGTCTCGAAAATCAAAGAGACTTAAGAGAATCATATTCACAATATTGGGTTCATTGAGTTGTATTATTCTGGTTTTCATTGATTTATATTATTCTGTCTGAATCTTGGTTTATAGCTCGAGCTTCCATCCGTCAAGTACTCGTCCACGTGCCACGGGCTCCGGCTGAGGGACAGCTCCATCACCAACTGTAGCTACTTTTTCGTCCTCCAAATAAACTCCGACAGACCAGTGGAGGGAGGCCTTCGTGGTCCGGTTGACAAATGCATTTTCTGGCAGGCCTAGGGACGGCATCCTCTTCCATGTGGATTTTTTACTTTTTACATTTGTTTTTAATATTTTCTTTTCCACGTGCACAAAAGAGTGGCCAAGTCATTTGGTCGGATATTGCACCACGTGCTTGGTCCGGGGCTAAAATCAACTTTACAGGGCCAAAAGGACAAATTGTATGAGAATTTTAAATTATAGGATTAAAAGACTAAAAATTAGAATTTTTGGATTAAAATTGCAAAGACATTAAACAGGCAGCACTAAAAATGCAATTTTTACATGACAGGCAATTATACGCAAGATGTGAATATTTTGCCAGACCTCTTTTTTGTTTCTTTTATCTAACGTAAACATCTTAATTCATACGCTTCATTATTCCATATCCAAATCAGTGTAGCTTTCTGACATATTTAGTGGCACATTATAAATTGTAATGCACTTAAAATCAACTTTCATTCATTAATATTAATAAACGAATTGAATTCTCGATTACAAGTTCATTTAGTTAAAAGAGTCAAACTCCCAACGCACACAAGGTCAAAGTCGGAAAACTACACGCACGCAGCCAAAACACAGGGCCAAACTAGAAACTTCTTGAGTCAACGTCTGATGGAACCTTAAGTTTTAATCCCCAAACTTTCTTAATTTTGAACCTCAGCCCCCACGGACACGGCCGTGTATCTGATTTTGACGGTCAACGCCCACTTTCACCGATAAAAAGCAAAAACACCAGCAACCTCCACAGGCCACCTCCACTCTCCCCTCCGACTGCCGCCGCCGCCGGCAAACATCACCGCCCATGGCTAATACTTCATTGAATCCCCATGCCCCCATCCCGTTTTACTTCGCACTAATAATATTCCTCGTCCAATCACAAGCACTCACCCTCCTCCCTTCAGACCTCAACGCTGTGCTGCAATTGCAAAGGGAAACAGGTCTCCGCCGCCCGCCGTCGAGTATTCCCTGCGATTCCGCCGGAATATTCTGCGAGCCGCGAATCGCGAACTTCTCCAGTGTCCTCCGCGTCACGCGCCTGGTCCTCGCGTCCCAAAACCTCAAGGGCAGACTCTCGCCCGCCATCGGCGAGTTGTCGGAGCTCAGAGAGCTTTCCCTGCAGAACAACCAGCTCATCGACCAAATCCCTGCTCAAATCGCCGACTTGCACAAGCTCGAAACCCTAAACCTAGCCAGCAATCGCCTCACCGGCGAAATCCCGCCGGGCTTATCCCGGCTAATCAACCTCCGCGCCCTCGATCTATCCTCAAATCGATTGTCCGGCAACTTGAATTTCCTGAAACATCTCCCCAACCTGGAGACGCTCGACCTGTCCAACAACACGTTCACTGGAAAAATCCCAATCTCCCTCAAATCCTTCCGAAATCTCAGGTCCATCAACGTGTCCGCCAACTGTTTGTTAGAAAGCCCAATCCCAAAACGCTATATTCTCGTCGAAACAAATCAACAGAAGCACCACAAGAAGAAAATCGTCGGCTGGGGTCTCGGTTTCATAGCCGGCACCCTAACGGGCTGCGTCTCGGGCGTGACGTTCAGCCTGCTCTTCAAGTTTATCGTGCTGTTAATTATCGGCCGTAGCTACTACACCAGCCTGAAAATCTTCAGCCCCCTCATAAAAAAACCCGAAGATCTATCCTTTCTGGAGAGAGAAGACGGACTAGCTTCGCTCGAGGTCATAGGACGAGGAGGATGTGGGGAGGTCTACAAAGCAGTCTTGCCAGGCTCCGATGGCAAAGAAATCGCCATCAAGAAAATAACTCAGCCTGCACGAGATGCCGAGGAGCTCACAGAGGAGGACACCAAGCTGCTAACCAAGAAAATGAGGCAGATCAAATCGGAAATTCAGACAGTGGGCCAAATCAGGCACCGGAATCTTCTTCCCCTGCTGGCCCATCTGCCCAGGCCCGATTGCCACTACCTAGTGTACGAGTACATGAGGAACGGGAGCCTGCAGGACTATCTGCAACAAGTGGCTTCGGGCCGGAAGAAGCTGGACTGGCCCACACGGTACAAAATAGCGCTTGGGATTGCTTCGGGCCTTGAGTACCTCCACACGAGCCACACGCCCCGAATAATCCATCGGGACCTCAAGCCTGCAAATGTGCTTCTGGACGATGAGATGGAGGCCCGAATTGCAGATTTCGGGCTTGCCAAGGCAGTCCCGGATGCCCACACTCATATAACGACTTCAAATGTAGCGGGGACTGTCGGTTACATTGCTCCCGAGTATTACCAGACGTTCAAGTTTACTGAGAAATGTGATATGTACAGCTTTGGGGTGCTTCTTGGGGCTCTGGTCATGGGGAAATTGCCAAGCGATAATTTTTTTCAGCATACGGATGAGATGAGTTTGGTGAAGTGGTTGAGGAATGTGATGGTGTCGGATGATCCGAAACGGGCGATCGACCCGAGTTTGGAGGGTAATGGGTTTGAGGAGCAGATGCTGCTGGTGCTTAAAGTTGCGTGCTTTTGCACGTTGGATAATCCGAAGGAGAGGCCGAACAGCAAGGATGTGAGGGGTATGTTGTCTCAGATTAAACATTAGTGTGCTGTATTTTTTGGAGGAAATTTCTCTGTTGTTGTTTCTGTTTGGTTTCTATTTAGAAAGTTTTCTTGTATGGTAAGATATAAGATGTGGACAGTATTGTAAGAAATGTGTAATTCAAGGTTGTTTTGTAATATTTCTTTTAAGATGTTGCATACCAAAAAGTTGCTTTTGTTTGATTTCTCATTTACAGGGATGAGTGTTTCTGTTGTAATAATTTATAACAATATACATTATAAATATTATGTCTTCTTTCTAAGCGAACAATATACATCGTTGTTCGATAGATGACTTGTTGGTTTATCGTTAAAATCTATATATATATAATAAGAATTAACAATAGTAGCAAAAATTTAGGAAACATTTAATGCATACTATTTAGAAATTTTTTAAATATATCCATTAATTTCTTCCATATACACGTTTTCAAATAAGATCAAATGATATATGATCAAAAAATTACTTAAATAAATTTATTAATATCTGCAATATTTTCATTAATATTTATTATAATAAATTACAAGATTGATTTTTCGTAATTCATGTTGATAATAATTTGGTCAAGATAAATATTATTTTATTAATATTTGTAATACTTTCATTGATATTCATTATAATAAATTACAAGATTGATTTCCATGATCCATGTTGATAATATTTTGGTCAAGATAAATATTACACCATATGTTAAGTTCTAACCATAATATTAAGTTTTTTTCACAAATATTCACTTTTATCCAAAAATATTTATGGAAAATTGTAACAGGTTAGGTAATTTTTTTTTTTAAAGTAATCAGACAAAATCAAGTTGGTGAATTAATCTTTGCCAATAGATTTTTTTCTTAAGCTTTATTTTGTTATATATAAAAAATAAATTGTTCTTCAAATTAATATAATTTACCATTTAAGAGAGAATGACTAGATACATTAAATAGTTTTACTAATGATAAAAAATTAAATTTGAAATATATTAAGTATTTTTTTAGGATTTATTTGTATATTATCGGCACCCATGATTATTTTTTTTATTTATTTCTATAATTAAATTCTTGTAAAATATATTTTCATTGCAGAGTATGCTAAATAAACTATAAATCCTTATAATGCGAATTAAAAAAATCTTGATCATAGAAGAGATTGAGTTTTTGGCATTTCCTAATTAGTATACAAAATTAAATTCTCAAAAAACATGTGTATATTTTGTAAAATATTTATACACTATTTAATTTTAAATTTATTTACATATTTTAAATTGATTACATAAATAAATAATACTAACGTACATTAAATATTTTCCATTACATAAAATAAAAAGAAAAATAAGACTTACAACTTCTATGACTTTCTAAATAATAATGACAATATATGACAACAAAGTTTATAATAAAATAATAATTAAGTATTATATAGTGAACAAGAATAAGTAAAGTGTTATTCTCTCTTATATCAAGGAATAAATATATATATATATATATATATATTAAAATTAAATTTATATTATTATAAATGTGTTAGTGAGATAATATATTAATTATTTTACAAGCTAGCCCTAACATGCTAACATGCTCATATTTAATGTTTTGACTAAAAAACAACGCGTGCAAAATAGATTGTAACCTTATTGTTTATTACACTTAACGCTGATTAAAAGAGGTGAAAATAAATGATAACCTTTATATACTTAAACGGACAAAGCCTGTGAAAATAATTCATTTAATATTTTTATCTCGTGCATCGCACGGGGTACGTACTAGTTTATAACAATATAGATTACAAATATTTTTTTTCTTTAATCTTTATTTATATATTAGTATGTTAAGTTAGGATTTTTTATCCAGTTTGAGGGGATGTTTGGACCCTCATTTCGATTTTTGTATGGATTAAATGATTTTTATTTATTGTTAGTTAGTTAAGATGTTGTATTTATTTTGTTGATGAGTTGATTTATGCTATCTATTTTTAATGTTTATTAATTATGGATGTTATTTAGTTAAGCCAACTACTTTAAATATTCATAGTTTATTTGCAAAATTCAAGATTTTAATTCGTAAATGTTATTATTCTCGTTTCTTAGTAGTAAACTAGAGGTCATGCATATCTAAGGTAGCGTAAACATAAGTTAAACGAACTGAACGTGGCGTCTGTTGTTTAGACCAATATATTTTCCGAATAATTATTGTCGCTAGTGCACTAAATCTGAAAAGTTTATTTTGGGTTGTCCACTAGTTATGTTTAGTCGGAGAGCTTATTTCAATAAGATATTCGATAAGAGAAAATCCGGTTAACAAAGTTTGTTGTTAACTAGAGTTGGTAATTTGTTAGGAATTTAAAGAAATGCGTTGAAATTAATTAATGGTATATTTATATTGGGTGATAACTGATCTGAAATCTGAACTTCTCTCATTTAATTTTGATATTTTTATTTTTATAAAATCATGCCCCCTGCCCGTTTTACTGCTTTCTTAGTTTTAATTCGATTAATACGAAATTATCACAATTTAGTTTCTACTTTTCGTGAGATCAAACCTTACTTGTCGTTGCTACTAGTTAGTGAAGGTTTGTCAAGAAAACTTTAATAATACAAAATTGTTGCGTCGCGACGCGCGGTCAAATCACGAACACGATCCCTGAACATACTCGAACAAATAATTCAAATAAATAAACAAAATTGAGGCATGTGAAATATGCTTTCCATGACAAAATTGCCACCAAGTAATGTCCATGATTTTCGAAAAACGTGTTTGTCTGTTCGATGCGTCACCTTTGGTTACAATCTGTTTGACAACCTTCCACCTTGAACGATCCTCCTTCTTGAGCTTCCGATAACCTGCAATACGCTGGGAGGAGTGTCCCGATGAAAAACTCTTCGAGGCTCAAGTCAGAACTCGTTCCATTATGAATGTATAGAATATAGAGAATAAAGTGTGAACCGTGTGTTGTGTAATTATAGAGAACATGTCGTCCTTTTATAGGACTTTAACGCCTTCAAGTTTAAGAGAGTTCTTATTAGGGAAGAGATCCACTCGGATTCTTTTCTTCTTACTTGGATTCTTTCTTTCGTTTACTGTTTTAGCCCATGGATCCTTAGGTCATATGCCCGACCTCCCATCCTGTCTGTTATGGCCTTCCAGAGGACGTTCTTGACCTTGCTCTAAGGTCTAATCTGACCTCACCTTTAGGTCTGACTTGTTCACAGGCCACCGACCTCAATTCATAGCATGAACTGGAGGATAAGAAATGTTCATTATTCCGGCAGAATGAGGGATAAAAAATGTAAATTATTGATACATATTGGAAAGTGTGATATAGATAAATTTGAATTTATCAATATTGAGAAGTGTAGTATAGATAAAAAAGGAATTAATATAAAAAAGAATAAAATATGATTAAACAATTAATTCAAAACAAAAAAAAATAATAATAATAATAAGGGAAGAGCTAAACAGCTTGTTGAACGCAATGGTGTGGCCCACCATATTAATGGATGCACACATCCATTTTAATGGCAACTTGCCATTTAAACAAGGCAAATAAATGCCCCGTTGGAGATGCTCTTAGAACTAAGATCATCTGAAAAATATGATATTAATTTTGAATTTCTTAAAGGGTGGTATAGGTACAAATGCTTAGTGATTATGTAACCTTGCAATAAATGTTTATATTAATTAAGATTTAGTTTGCGGTTCATCGAGCTTTAATGGTTCAATCTATGCAACTGCTCAACTTTATCCACCTATTTATCCACCTATTTATGATTTCGATGATTTTCTGGCGAGTCGGCCTTCCGAAAGGTTCCTCTCGCCTATGCACGTGGCGACGCAGAGGTGGGGAGGGTGAGGCTGGCGGTGAGACAGGGAGGTAGGAGAGGAGGTTGAGGGAGAGGATGTGGTCGTGAAATAAGATGTTGCAT